TTCTGGAGAGTTGTGTTTTCAGTTTTATAGCACGCAAAAGCACCATTATCTATGACCTATTTGTTGGCCAGCTGTTTAAATTGACAACCCCCCCCCCCGCCCGCTCTTCTTAAACTGTGCTATTAGTTGCATCTGCATGAGAAATATTGCGTCGAAATTCAAATTCTAAATGTTGTAAAAAGGAAGAAAAGATAATAGTTTTGGTACAATGTTTTTAAACAAAATGAAACAATGTTGTTTATTATTGCTTTCTGGCTTTGAACGGTTGAACAGCCTGCTGCCGTTATGCATTTCGCGTAGCTTGCAGAAGAACTAAATACGCTTTTCCCAGACTGTATTTCCTCAACGATAGAGCTTATCGTGTTTTACATCCGTAGACAAAATCACGATCAAACAGGTGGCGGGCTGCTTCGATCCTCTTTTTCAGGTCCAACCCGGGCTGAATGGAATGCAACATTTCACCAGAAAGGGGGCAAGGACAATTGACAATAACTTCCCAACTCGAGAATCGAACTTATGTCCTCTGAGTGCAACGTTTTTGAGCCTAACATTTATACGGGGTGCCCACTAGGGATGGGATCAGCCGATCGGGCCGATCGCCTGACTCGATCGCCTAAAAAACAAACGTGTATGTTTTCAGTTTCAGGCGATCGAGTCGGGCAATCGGCCCGATCCAGCCGTAATGGGCACAGGAGACCCATGTTCCATTCCTGGAAGGGGAAGATTTTTGTCGAGTTTCTGGCTCCTTCTGCTGGGATGTTGTGTCCTTCTCAGTCCAAGTTGGGCCCAACAAGCAGGGTCAAAATCTTCTACATGATCTAAATTGTGTCGACAAGGGCGTGAAAACACCTTCATTTCTTTTCACGAGTCTTGTTTACAGATAATAGATCTATCATTTTCCGCTTTAAGATTTCTGGCGATTTTTGTGTGTAGCAATTTTGTTCTGATTGGACTCATCACACCCAGCAGGGAGAATTTAATGTCTTTGTCGACCTAGTCTGTATAGTTATGACCTTGTCCGACGAAAACGACCAAGTGAATGAGAAGGCTACAAAATTCTTCCCTGAAAAAGCATTGGCCTCATAAAAAGTTAATGTCCTGTTTATGGAGGTTGCTATTTGAACGAATGTTGCTTTTATTGTTACCACTGGCTGTTCATGCTGTCATTGTTATAACTTCAGAGTTTACTGTTGCTGTTGATGACTATTATTGACCTGTCTGTACACTTTGGACTTTTTAAAACCAGAAATTAGATTTAAACAAACAAACATCTACTCC